CCAAAGCTAGACAGGAACCTTATCAGAAAAGAAAATTTAGGTCAGTAGCTCTTATAAAAATAGATATAAAATACCCTATAAAAATATAACAATTAAATCCAAAAAAACAGGAAATGCACCTTGACCAAGTTTCATTTATTCCAGGGCTATAAGATTGATCAACTTTTGGAAAAGAATCAATATAATTCACCACATTATCAGAATAAAGAAGAAAAATCATGTGATTTTCTCAGAAGAAATGCACTTAATAAAATACCTGTGCATAATTAAAGAAGAAAAACTTTCGGCACAGCAAATTTCATAATCTGATATAGCATTTATATGCACAGAAAATCCAGCAGCAGGTATCTACCAAATGATGAAATATTTACAGCATTTTGAAACAAAGTTACTCACCACTTCTATTTATCATTATATTGGAGTTCTTTGCCAGTCCAATAAAGAAAAAATAAATAAAGATTAGAAAGGAAAAAATAAAACTACCATTATCTGAAAATACTTTTATCTATGTAAGCATCTACAGAAAAATTAATAAATCAATTTAGCAGGTCCAAGATGAATATATCAATAATAACTTTATTTCTGTATTCTAGAAATAAACTTAAAGGTGTGCAAGCTCTTCACCTGAAAAACTATAAGCCATTTCTGAAAGAAATAAAGAGATATTTGAATTAATGATAAGATATGCTGTGGTCATGGATTGAAAAATCCAGTAAAATAAAAGTCAACTCTCCTTAAATTTATCTATACAGTCCACGCAATCTAAATAAAATGCCTGGAAGATTGTGTGTGTCAGTGCATATGTGAAAATGTTAATATGGGAATTGACAAGCTGACTCTAAAATGTGTATTAAAATGTCGAGAGCTGGTAATAGCTAGAGTAATCTTGAAGAAAAAAAAGCTGGAGAACTTAATACTACTAGATACCAATGCATAACAAAGCTGCCATCAATAAAATAGAGTGGTATTGGTACAAAACTAATAGACCAGTAGAATATAAGAAAAAAAGCAGAAAGACACTCAAATATATATACGGTGACTCAAGGTAAAGATACCACTGCTATTCAATAAAAAGGACAGTATTTTCAATAAGTGGTATTCACTGAACTGGATAGTCATTGTATATATCTTTTCCCCTGCCTCACATTATAGATAACAGCAATCAATTCTAGGTGGTATATAGATCTAAATATAAACATCTTCAAGACTTCATGTAAGCAAAGTTTACTTAATCAGGACAAACATTATTAACAATAACATAAATGTCGATAAATTGAGCTTCATTACAATTTCCATTTTCCACAAGATACCATTAAGGAATTTATGGTGGAATTAAAGAATTTAAAAGGAGACACATATCATGAGAAGGTATTTGAAATGCATGTATCTGACAAAGGACTTGTATCTAGGACATATTTTTAAATTCCTAAATCAATATGGAAAAGATAATCAACCTAATAGAAAATAGGCAACAGACTTGAACAGATACTTCGCAAAACAAGGAAATCAAAGGGGTAATAAGTATGGGAAGAGGTCCTCACCATCATTAATCCTCAGAGAAATGCAGATTTGTAAAACCGGAGTAAGATTCTACTACATACGCACTAGAATGACCAAAATCTTACAAAATGACAGTACAAAGTGCGGAGCATCTGAAAGTCTTATACACTTCTGGTGACAGTATTATTTCACATGAATTCTTTAGAATAAGAAAACTGCTTAGCAGCATTTATTAAAGCTGAATGTAGGCACCCTCTATGACTGGGCAATTGCACTTTTGAAGCATATGCTCTACAGAAAGCTGTGCACATATGCTCCAAGAGCCATGTATAAGAATGTTCGTACTGGTGGTAACAATCCCAAACTAAAAACAACCTATAATAATATGTGATAACACATGGCGGTATATTTAGAAGATGGAATATTATACAACAGTGACTATAAATAAACTGCTGCTACATGCCATAGCATGACCACACCTCACAAAGAAAATAATGTGTTAAAGAAGCCAGACACAAAAGAAGACATACTGTATGGTTTCATTAGTATAAATTTCAAAGCAGGCAATTCTCATCTATGGTGTTAGAAGTTAAATATCAAATATCACTGTCAGTGTGGAGGGACTATAATAACTGTGAAGGGAGGGGATAGGTTTCTGAGGGGCTGGTCATATGGTAATATTCTATTACCTGAGCGATGGTTATACTAGCAGGTTCACTCCATAAAAACGCATTGAGATCTGCTCTTACAAAATAAATAAAAACATAATTACATAGGTATATAGGTATATATTCTTAGTATCTATAATTACACATTTGTATGTTAACATATATGAAAGTATGCATGCATGTGCATATGTTATTACATACCCCAAGAAAAAGGATCTCATAGACAAAATGACAGGTAGAGTACCCCTCTAGGAAGTATTTGTTTTCTATGAAAATTAATAATCCACAAGTTTGTCAGATACAATCTAGGCCTGACCCATGACAAACATTGCTCAACAATCTTAGTCCTCTTTTCCAATGACCTTCTTAGTGGTTAAGCTGAAAGATGCAGGCCCCGCAGCCACGCCAAGACTGAAAAGTGAAATGAAATCTCTTGCCATCCCTGGCTGAAGCACAGAGAGAAATCATTAACACCAGGATCTCAAACTCTGTAGTAATATTAGGTTGACGGGAGAGGGCTCTGGGTTACAAGACTTTTGTATGCCTTTGATCACTGTGGTAGGCAGGCACCTATTTCTGCCCCAGAATAAGGCCAGCTCTGCCCTGAAGCCATAGCAACCTGCTGGGCCTGACAAGCCTCAACTTCAAACACAGCTCTGGCCCATCATTTTTGTCAAAGGGCCTATTAGAATGGCCTTACAAAAATAGCAACCACTAGAGTTAAGTTTTGATGCAGTGTATTAGGAAATAAAATTTTCTTTTACAGAAATGGTAAACAACAGAATCTCTCCCTCGAGAAAAAGCAGAACTTTTGACATTTAAGAGAGACCCTTAAAGAGAAAAAAAGTATCATTTCTATTTCAGAGGATCTATTCAGAATGATCTTCTTGAATCGATGTGGCCCATCTCAGTAGCAAATCGTTTCTGAAAATTCTCATTTAGCTTACTCAACTATCTTTGTTACAACTTAATACTGTGACTATACGTTGGAGATTCAAATTTTCCCTTGGTAATTGTTTCCTTAGCAAAATAATCACAAGCAAGTATTTGTGTATTGTGTTTTTTAATTATTTGTCTTACATTTATGTAAACTATAGTCCTCAATGTGTCATACAACAGCTCCTTGGAACATTACACTTCCTTTTACACTTGTGTTTTAATCGTGATGATGAATCACTTATATAATTAATTATAACATTAATCACGTGAGGTTGAAAGGGAGCCCATTACCCACCATTAGGAGAAATAAGCCACAGCAGTTTGCACAGAGTCACAGGTTTTTGCCGTTTTTGAAATCGAAGAAAAATCATATTTTACTTGTAAGATTCACGTGTGTCACTAGAAAGTGAAAGCCTAATTTTTGATAAAATATGCAGGCCGATGCTCTCATCTCTGTATGTTGATTGACTTATCAAGTGGAGATCATGACCTGGGATATTACGAACACCCAGAGCTCTGACTAATGCTCAGAAAATATTTGTTTTTTAATGGATAACTTGATGGATGTTATCTTTCCCTAGAAACTTAAAATAAGTGGCAGTCATAGATACACTTCTCTGTATTGGACAGAAAGGAGAAAATCATCTATCCTGGTATGCTTAGATGATGCTTTTCTCTCCTCAAACTCTAACCAGTTAACTTCTTAGAGAAGATAAGGGCTTGCTCCAAATGAAACACCCTCAAGGTCACACTTTTGTTTTTGAGGCGCATCTTCTTCCACTGTCTGAAATCCCCTAAACAGATATGGAAACATTTTATGTACAACTGTATGTAATTGCTCTAATAGCCACTCAAATGCTTGCTTGAGGTCAGGAGGACCTTGAGCATTTGTACCTTAGTAAGATAACTAAAGACCTATAAGATGGTTAGTGAAACATCGAATGAAATAGAGAAATCTTAGTCTGATAGAGGTTCCGGCTCAGGGTTCTCTATGAATTAATTCTTTTATCGGGAGCGGTTTTACGAGCATTTTCCTTCTCTGCATACCAATTCCAGAGAAGTGCCTATGCCGGACTGAAAGGCATTAGACTTCAGCCCACTCAGAGCCATTTATTTATTGAAAAGTTTATCTATGTATTAAATTCTCACTGAAGAGGGTTTCACTAGGCCCATAAGACCAGTATACAGGGAGCTGCAGAGCTCTCTGGAAAACGAACAGGGATCTAACTTTTCAGTCTCGTTTTTGTTCCCATTGCTCACACACCTGGGCTACGAGCGGCACCGAGAGAGAAGCATGTATTCAGGCTGAATTTTTTTTCCCCTGCATGTGAGCAGGCCACAATTTATATCACTCAGGTCTTCTTAAATTAGTCCGAGAGGATTTCATTTTACAGGCCTGCTTGACTGGGATCCTTTTGTCACGATGGGTTCAGCTTTGTATACAACTGAGATTCATATTTTATGTGAGTGTAAAAACCCCAGCCATGAATCTAGCAGCTCAAAGCTTCACCTTCATTCTTTACAGCTCAGTTCCGAGCCCGGTACATTTCCATAGACTTGAGGCTCAAGGCAGCTCCTGGCTGAGCTGAAAGGACAACAGCTAAAAATAGATTTAAAAACCCAGGAGCAGAAGAAGAGAAAATGGGACTCTTTCAGTTCTTCTTTACACAGCACCTCCCCAATTAATATGATATGGACATAATGCCTCCTAGTCACACATTTAAATTGAAATAGCACTGTGGCCGGACGTTTTCTGCTTTTAAAGTTAAAGGAAGCTGTGGAATTGTCTGTCAGAGGCTCCTGCGAGCCTGTCACCCTCACGCATCCCGTTGGCTCGGCTGCTAAGCGCCAACCTACTGTCCCCTCCTTTTCCCCAGATTCTCCCCCGGCTCCCGGCTGCCACCTCTTTTCACTGTCTCGGTTTTCTCCTACTCCACTGATCTCCAAACCTCAGCTTCCATAGCAGAGCTGATCAAGCAAGATGAAGAAGCCGAGCTACGTACGAGGTTTGCTTTGCTTCCACTAAGATGATTTTGTAGGGAGGTTTCAGAAAGCCACGCCTCTCTGCACCCACAATGACATCCTTTAGAATACAGTGCTGTTGGGTGCTGAATAGATACAGTGTCGTGAGTGGCCCTGCATGAATGTATGTGCGCGTCAGGGACTAGAACAGAGAGGTGTCCAAAGGAGTGAAGAGATCATGAGAGATTTGTTCTCTAAATTTCCTTTGTCATCGCTAATGATTTGTTTATTTAAACTGAAGTTGACTGCCTTCTTGGCACTGTTAATGCCTCTAATGAGCTGTAAACCCCAAAGGTCTGTACCATTGCTGATCTTTCAACAAAATGAAAGTTGCAATCCCAATCTCTCTTAAAATAATAGAAATCTTGTCTCTAGGACTATGACCCGTGAATTTTCTAATAAGTTTTCTCACTATTATAGAATATTATCTACTATTTAATGAACATGTGAATGTGTTAAAGTATCATATAATAATGATAGATAGGGACTCTGTCCCCCATAATGATTTTGGAAACCTAGGAGGTACCCAGCACCTACATTATGCGTAAGAACCCTATGAACGAAGAAGATACCTTCTCAGTCCTCAAGGGGCTTCAGTCTGGATGAATAGAGATAATCTGAAGCAATATCATATATTGTTAATTGACAAAATGATAAAGGATAGACAAAATCTGAGATGGTAGAGAAAGAGCAACATGTATTGAAATCGTTTATAAAGACATCATAATGTGGATAGAATTTGAGCTGGGCATTAAGGGAAAGTAAAATTTGTGTTAAAAATAAGAGGGAGAAAATATTTTCTTAGCGGAATGGGGAGGGGAGTGATGGCTCCTAGCAAGAATCAACAGCCAGAGGAGCATATTCTAGGAATGGTGGCTTGGTGTATATGGAGAAATATTTTAGGTCTTTGACCCTCTTCTGGCACAAAGTTCCTAAAGCTCTGGGGATTTCCTGAGTGTAGGAGTGTCTTGTGTTATTCAAAAGAAGCCTCTTTGTGAGCACTCTTGTGTTTAAGCTAACCAGTGACTTAGTCTGGGGTCCCTGCATAGCCTCAGGAGGGGCTGGTCCCCAGAAAGACCTAGTGATGAGCGGGCTGGGACCTTCACTCCAACCCAGGGACCGCTGGATGGGAAAGGGGGAAGAGGGCTACAGATTAAGCTCTATGAAAGTCTGAACATGAGGTCTGCTGAGCTTCTGAGCAGATGAACACATCGCACACCCAGAGAGTGGTTTGCTCCATCCAGTTCTTGGGGACTGACGCTCCTGTGCTTGGGACCCTTCCAGACCTCACCCTAGGTACCTCTTCATGCAGCTATTCACCTGTGTTCATTATCATATCCTTCCCGTCCCTGTTTGTGAGCCACAAGCCACAGTGTGCGCAAGATCTGGAGTACATACCCAGCGTTGGGACTGATGTAACCACAGTAAGTCTTTCGTACCAACATGACATAGGTAACCACCAATGTTTATTTCATCCTTTACTGTGAGACCTTCATGGGAACTGGCAGCATTGCAAACATGTCAAAAGACCCATCTTTCAGCCACTGAAGCAGGTCTCAAAGCCCCACCCCCAGGGCTCCTGGAAGGTGAGGTACCTCCTTCCTGCGGTAAAGTTCTGAGAGTGGGGATCTTTGTTACAAAGACAGGGCATGGTTTATTTAAATAAACATATCATTGTACTGGGTCTTCCTTTCATCCTAATACATTTTAATAAAAGTCTTGGATGCAACCAGGATGGAAATAATAAAATAAGGGAAGGAAAGAGGAAACATAGAAAAGAGATGGAGAGAAGGTAAAGATAAAGGATGAAATAAGGGAAGCAGGGAGGGTTGGTAGTTACCTGTGTCATGTTGGTACGAAAGAAGACTTACTGTGGTTACATCAGTCCCAACGCTGGGTACGTACTCCAGATCTTGTGCACATTGTGGCTGGTGGCTCACAAACAGGGATGGGAAGCACGTGGCAGATCAGCGCTACAGGGATGAATGGAGACGTGCACCACGTCACTCTGAAATTTTTCCCACAGCCACCAGGCAATTCTTCCATTCTCAGTGAACACTGACAGGGTATCCTACAAATTTAACTTGGTTCTGACATTATTTGCATGGAGATAGCACCAGTCCCACAGGCTGGAGGCTCAGACCCACAATGCTGTGCACCTCAGACCCCAATTTCAAGTCCAGGCTGTCACTTGTGCTCCTGACCCAGAAGTTCCCATGACCCTTTCCTTGGGTTTGAGACTTTGTTAGAACATCTCACAAAGCTCAGGGAAGTGTTTACTTACATTTCACATTTTATTGTAAAGGATGTTATAAAGGAGACAGATGTCAGAAGGTGTCTGCCAGAGAGGACAATCTGTGGCCAGTGGAAGCCATGCAGGAGGGCTGGTTTAGGAGATCAAGGTCAGGCAGTACCAACAGAGGGGCCAGACACCACGGTGTCACACCACAGCAGAATGCTACAGCGGAAGGCCAGGACAACGTTTGCATCCTTGCTCTGAGGGTTCTGGTTATGTGGATTTGGACATTGGAGGGGGTTATTGAAAATCTGGGCTTAAACAATGTACAGAGGGGGTTCAAGATAGCGCTTGACACGCAGCAAGTGCTGCTAAAAGTCAGCTAATTGTAATGGTTGCCAGCAGAAAAGAAGAATTATTACAGGTGGTGGCGGTAGTGGTGGGGGAGGGGTAGTAATTAATTCATGGCATGGACTCTGTGAGAACTGTTGAGGTAAAATACGTGCCGGCACCAGTTGCCATTTCGGGAAAAAGAGACCTTTGGTTAAAAAAAAATGTGATTGGCTGGAGCTGTTAGGCTACAGTAGAGAAAGTTCACACATACACACCACTGTTTCTGCAGACTTGTGTCAGAGGATGGGGAGCCAGGCAAGGTGTACTTCAGGGCCAGGCGCTAATCCATCCCGCAATACAGCAGGAAGAACCCAGAGGACAGGTCCACTCAGGGACTGTATTAGCAGCACAAGACCGCACTCTTTGGAAGTAAGCAAGAGGTCTTAAATAATTAAGTTGGGAGAGGGGAACACAGTGTCATAGTTGCTCCCAGTCCTACTTTCTTCCCAATTCTCCCACTTTCTGCTGCAAATTCAGGTCACACGGATCATTTCCTTTGCTTACCTGTATCGTCTCCCCGACCTCCACAGTCTCTAGCACAATGGATTGATTCACTGCCGCACATTTCAGAGCACCCCGAATGCCACCTTTCTTGCTTTATGCTTCAAGAATTCCTTTCAACTAAATCAGGGTCATCCCATCCGATCGGCTCAAGCCAAGCCAGGGGACCCTCTTCACAGAACAGCCCTATTTCTAGCAAGAAGGAGAAACAAGGAGAATGATAGAACTTTGTATTTCTGTTCAGATAGACATAAATAAAACATATCCTTCCTCAAGATAAAGTAATCCGCGCTTAACTAGCCCTTTTCATTCTTTGAGGTGTTTTCAAAGCTTCCTTTAATGTCAAGCTCTTTGAGACAATCACTGCAAGACTTCACAGCCCTCTGCCGGTGCCTAGACTCGCTTCCCTGTGGCCTTTCCCCGGCTTCCTTTTTATCTCTTTCTTCTGAACAGCTGCTCTCTGATCACTGCTTTAACTTTTAGGGAGATTTTATTTATTTCCTTCTCTTTCATCCTATGAAGTAGGCAGACTTTAGTTTTGTGGGCCATGGAGTCGATGGTTTTCACATCCTCCCCACTTTTTCTTTCTTATTGTAATGTCCTAAAAAGCTAGGAAGGAATGGAGAAATACTGATGCCTGGAAAGTTAATGGAATTCATAGCGAGAGAAGGGTACATCGGTCACAACCTACATATCTGTTCAAATTCCACAGAGAAGTCTTCACTGACCACAGACACATTTGCTCTTTATCTTGTCAATTAAATAAAAAATGAATGGAATGTGGAGGAGATTTTTTTTTTAACTGTAAAAGAAACAATCATTTGGATGTCTTATCCTGTCAAACTGAAGATTTCAAAGCACTTTCAAAAGGTGGTATCAAGCGTGGTTATCGGTGACTCTCTCAGCTTGTAGGCAATCATTTTAATGCAGCCAGAGCCACGTTTAAAAATATTAAGGTACAGTCGAGTGAAATGACAATTAGATACACTCATTAAGAAATGTATCCTTAAATGAGAAGCTGAGTAACTGGCTGTCATGCTAGCTGAATAATATACCACCTTACCAAGGGTTGAGGTTAACTGGAACCAGCATGACACAGGTGTTACTGAAAGGCCATCTGGTACCCCTCTGTCTAGATAAGGCAGAAAATCACCTCAAGGCAAATCTTGTTGTTCCATGTCAAGTATGAATTTCTCCTCTTCATCATGCAAATGTAAGTTAATTTGGCTATCATTGCTGTGCTGAAGGGGTAAGGAAACCGTTTGTGCCTTAAGAAACACTGTCCTTTGGGGCATGCTTTCTCTGGAAAGGAGACGATTGGGTTTCATATAGGAGTTAGGGAACCAGTAGAAGGAAAAAGCTAGGGATCGTGGACACTTCCATTTTGAAGTCCAGTGTTTTTAGACCCTTCTGATGAACTGAGATAATTTTGACTAAATTGAACCCATCATGAGGGGAGGATGCCTCTGGCCAGTGATTTATGATTTATGAAAGGAAGAGACAGTGCACACAGTGAACTTCATTCCTGTGTTACTTTAAGAAATTGCCACAGCCACCAAAACCCTCAATAACCACCACCCCGATCAGTCAGCAGCCGTCAGTACGGAGGCGGGACCCTCCACCAGCAAAAAGATTAGGACTCACTGAAAGCTCAGATGATGGTGAGCACTTTTTAACAAGAAAGTACTTTTTAAAATTAAGGTATTATGTTGTTTTTAAGACACAATGCTCTTGCACTTAACACACCACAGTACAGGTTAAATATAAGTGTATTTGCACAGGGAAAAAAATTCATTTGCCTTACTGCACTTTTTGTTTTATTTTGCAATGGTCTAGAACTGAGCCCACGATATCTCTGAGGTATGTCTCTGCCTATCTGTGATGGAGTTTTTACCTGCTTATGATGCATGACAGAAAAAAAGGACCATATATTAATATTCCAGTTTATATTATACCAGATATTTAACAATATTTCCTGATAATTTTGCTGCTAAAACAGTATTTGTTTTATGCAGTGATGAAAGCACTGGATAATTTTGTTTATAATTGCATTATTTTGCAAATAAAAAATGATCAACTACTGCCTTGCGAGCTCGTGATATCTGTCTCCTAATTTGTTCAATATAAAAGAACAGAAATGCCTAAAGGGTATTTCAATTTTTCAATTTTTGCTTCTCCCCCCAAATTTGTGTTTTTATCCCCCAAATTTATGGTCTCTCCCAAGATATTTGGGAGGCCCCAAGAGATTGAATCAGCAAAGCCAATCCAATTAATAAAGCTTGACTTAAGTTTTTATTATGGATAATGTATCCATGGAAATGTAAGATTACCCACAAGCTAATGAATCTATGCAACTACTTAGGAAAAAGAAGTGGAAACAGTTTCATACTGGACAATAGAGCTGGCAGGGCGGGGTGTTCAGCAGGCGCCTCTAGCACAGTGCATAGAACCAGATTACAGTTATCTGCATACGCATCTCTCTTACTTACAAACTGTAAGCTTATCAAACATTCCATTTTCCCTAATTCACTTTTCCATTTCCAGCACCCAACACAATGCCTTTCACACAGTACATCAATAAGGATTGGTTTTCTCTTAGATAATTAAATCTTTTAAATGATTGATACATTGAGAGAAAAAGGAAAGAATGAGAAACTGCTCTAGCCAATAAAGGTGGTTATTTACTTGAATAATGATTTGGGTGGGTTTTTTCTTCTTGTAAGACCCAACTCAACCCAATAATCTGGTTTTGAATATTCTAGTCTTGTATATTATGATTGCTTAGATGTAAACTTACAATTACAGAGGTTTAGTTTCTGTATATCTGGGCTTGGCAAATTATGGCCCATGGGCCAAATAAAACCTGTCACCTATTTTAGAAACAAAATTTGATTGGAATAAAGCCATTCCCTTAAGTTATGTATTATCTGTGGTCACTTTCATACTCCAACAGCAGAGGTGACCAGTTGTTGTGGACCCCTAGGGCTGGAGCCCACAGACCCAATTTATTATCTGATCCTTTGCAGAAAATGTTTGTTGGTCAAAAGTTGCTATAGATCATCACTTTCCTATATATTCTAAGATTAATTAAATGCCCAGTTTCATTATATGTCCCATAACTAGAATGAATTTTTTGTTCTTATGACAGTTCCCTTAACCAATCTTTAAAAGGATTACCCATTCTATTGATCAGTAAAAAGTCACAACATGTCAACCACATCCTAACATACTCATTATGCCCAAGACAGTGCATCTTAGGGGCAGATGTATGCCATTTTTTTCTGGGAACCATCCCCTAAGCATATTTAAAGGTCATATTTTATCTTCCTGCTTCCCATAGAGTTTGACTAAAGCTGAGGAGAACTAATTGCATCTGGGGAAAAGTAGGCCTTTCCATAAAGACTTGACAAGATCAGTTGGTATCATTTGGGGCAATAAAGACATCAAATCTTATAATGGCACCAAAAATAATAGCTGCCATATATTTGAAGCTTAATATATGCCATTCACTACAACTCTACTTTTCTTTGTTTCGTATCGCTTTGTCTTCTTAATCACCGCACGTGAGGCACATCTTGGTTCCACTTGACTACTGAGTAAATCTAAGCCGCTGAGGAAACTGAGGCACAAATTTCCCAAGTCATACCATTAATAAAAGGCAGGACTGGGATTTGAAATGAGACAGATTGATTACAAATCCAGGTGCTTCTTTACTGCTGTAGCAAAAGACAAAAAAGCAAGGTCATTTGCTTGAGCTACCTAGCTACATCTTGGTGACTGAAACCACAGACGCTTATTTCCCATGGTTCTGAGAGCTAGAAGTCCAAGACCAAGGAGCTGGCAACTCAGTTCCTGATGAGACCCTTTTCCTGGCTTGCAGGCAGCCACCTTCTACGTCCTAAAAGTAGAGAAAGGCAGAGCTCTGGTCTCTCTATTATAAGGACACTAATCCCATCAAGGACGCCTCATCCTCATGACTTCCTCTAAACCTAACCATCTCTCAAAGGCCTCACCTCAAAATGCCATCACATTCAGGTTTAGGGCTTCAACATAGGAATTTCGTGGGCACACAGACATTCTCCACTAATACACTCCATGTGACAGCACGCTTAGACAGCACCCTCTATGAATTATATTACTGACATCATGCTTTCAAAACCAAAATGTCAGTCTGGTCATGATGGTCACTAATGTAAAGTAATGCCCGGCCCTCTCTGCTGGAATCCTATGCAACTAAGGACAATTGTACAGTATCTCCAGGCCACCTTTCAATCAAATGGTAATGAGACCATATCATATCAGACTAGGAGCCACAATTGACTTCCCAGCTTTAGAAAGTACATTCTTCTCCTAATATAAAATGTAGCTGACAGAATAATGATCACATACCAATAAGAAGATCAAGATAATGATTAGACCCTAAAGCAACACCCATCAGTTTATAGATACTTGCCTCTATCAATTCCTCCATGGCTTCTGCTATAACAATATAATGTAATCTCTCCACCCAGAGTGTGCCATTCCCAATAGTTTTATTGATTCTACCCCTGGAACTCTGCACTCAGGCAATGGTTACATATTCCAGCCTTGCAGCAAGTTACCATTAACAAACTGCCTGCCTTCCTCTATTAACCCCCATTGCCATCTGGCTGACTCATGAGCTACCACATGAAGAACGTATTCTCTTGTGTGGATTGTCGTACTAAACTTATGATTATGGTATTTGAACAGTACCTCAATATTACATCCTCAAATGCAGTTTAGGTGATTAGTCCAGAAATACAATTAACTACCTCTGGAGCTGGAGCATGAGAAAGTGTCAAGTTCTAAGGGTATTAGGATCTGCAAATCTGCAAGACCATCCATGGAAGTGAGTTAATAAGAGAGAGCCCTCAGTATACAAATGGAGAACACAAATGCTTGGAAACGTAGTGCTGAAGAAAGTAGAGAAGAAAAATCATAGAAGAAAAATCAGTGCATTAGAGCCCAGAGAAGTCATTGCATCGGTGTTCTTAAGCTTGAAATAAGGCTGAAGCCAGCAGAACTCTAGGAGGTCAAAGTGGCAAGTGGGGCAGAAACTAGGCAGAGAGAGAGTCGATTGTGAATGATGAATAGTAGACGTGGCTGAGAAGCTAATGTTGAACTAGCATTTGAGCAGTCTGGGCTTTTCCACATGCCCTAGTGTGTGGATCTCCTTATCAATGGATTTCATGTCTATGAATTCACCTGTTCATTAAAATTTGCTTGTAATCCCAAAAGCAACACACACAGGGCTTTCAGTTCTTCACAGACATGGTCAGAGCTTTGAAAAATTTGAGTCACCCAGTGTGTCCGTTCCCAGCTGAGGGTGAGCAAGGCGGTACGCTGCTTATTGTTTCAGCCATCATACTGAAAACAAGTGTCCCTCTGAGGTCTATTTAGTGCCCACATTTGTTCTCATTTTTGTGCTATTTTGGGTGATTTAGCTGTTCAAATGATCTCCCAGGCATAGTGCTGAGGTGCAGTCTGGTGTTCTCGAGTGTACACCCTGGACAGAGAAAATACGTGTGTCACAGAAGTTTCATTCAGGCGTGAGTTATACAGTGCTACTGGCTGTGAGTTCAGTGCTAATGAATCAACAATATACATGAATCACCTATCTTTAAACAGAAAGACAGGTGAGGTATGGATACGCTGATGAAAATGTTGTGGACACAGGTTCTCAGGAACATCGCCCTGTATTTCTCCTAGGAGCTATGATTCTCAGTCTACTAGTTCAATGTCCACAGCAACTTCATAGAACATAATGACCACAAATACTGGGAAGTGACTGTAGATCCCTGGGTGGTAGGCCATGGACAGTCCAGGTGCCCTGACACTTGGGGAAGCTACTAAACGCACCAAGAAACAACAACTGATGTCTACAATTACGGTGACGCAAGAAATTATGTTTACGCTAATTAGGTAGAATTTGAGTGCTTGGAACAGTCCCTCCTCCGTCTCTACGCCAGCCTGAAATGTTCAAAGCAGTGGTGAGTCTCTGGCTGTTTCTCTGACTTTACAGAATACTCACTCTGTGTTGTCTGCTGAAGCCTCTGAAATTCTGGGACAAACTCTTAAGGAAATAAAAAACGGGTAGTTGGGAAACACAAGGGAGGATATCTGCTTGTAGCATCAAGTGTTGTTGATCTTGTGGGAAATCGTTTACTAGCTGAAGTCTAAGTTGCCTCAACCAAGACCAGGTATCATTCTTGCCAAAACTGACTCAGGTTCTAGTTCCCCCTCCGTATAGGTAAACCTTCCATCCCTAAGATTCTAGTTACTTAAAAAATATATCTGTGGTATTTAAAGTGGTTTGTTATGAGAAATAGCAGATACCGAGAAGAACAAAGCTTGGTCTCTGCCTCTAAAATAGACATGTATGACAATAATACCAGTGCCCTGACAGAGGGGTTTTCATAGTACCAGGATTTGCGTTCATCAGGTATGTAAGACACGAAGGCATGAAAATTAGCATGAGAAAGGAAGAGCTTTTTATTATACCCATAGTTCCCTAGAAACAGAAGTCATGGCTTGGCATGAAATCCACAGCAAAATGAGCAGGAAGAGAAAGAGAAGAACTACAGGCAAGAGTCTAGATTGTATTTCTCAAGGGAAGGAAGGGGGAGGTAGGGGAAGCAAGCTAGTGTGAATAATTCTGCTGGGTGCTGGGCTGTAAGGGTCCCTATTCATCCACTACCTGGCCCTGGGTGATTAGGGCCTGGGCATAGAGTTCCAGAGGTAGGGGGGAGGGGCATGGGCTCAGAATCGGTTGGTTTGTATATTCAAGGCATGTTTGCAAATTAGTTCTTCACTGTCTCCAGGATTAGCTGACCCTGGGAGGGGCAGTCCCCCCAGGGTCACCAAGCCTTCCAGTGACAGACCATCAAGAAGACAGACGATCAGAAAACACAGTGAATACAGGTAACAGTGCGCAAAATGTTGGCCAGGTACGGAATCACCCATTCTCTGGATTGCAGTGTGGGGCTTTAAATCCTGTCCTGGTGCTGCCCGTTGGATTCTTACAAGCCCGCCCTGGGGATGGGGTTCTTATCTGTCATTGGTGACCACTTCACTTCCCAGGAGAGATCAGGTTAGAGTGGGGCACATGGTTCGGAGAACAAAGGCAGACTGAGTTCTGGGAAGAGACTTAGTGGGATTTCAGGACAAGCCATGGGCCAGAGGAGTCACACATCATACATCAAGAATTGATTTATGAGGTTGTGGCAGCTGCAGCCCAGTTCCAAGAAGGCCCTCATGTCCAGGAAGGCAACCCTTTGAGTGGGAAGGGTGTCCGCCACCCGTCTGGGGTTGTTTGCCAGAGGCCAGGCCTTTCTCATTTGCACTGTCTGCTTGTCCTCTGAACTTGGCATCTGTCAGACTGCAGGTTCCCAGCTCTCCGTGTTGACCTGGGTTCTGCCTTCACCCTTGGCACTCGATGTCTGTACCTGACAGTTGACTTCCATTCTCATTAAACGGCTTCGTCTTCGGCTGGCCGGCTGGCTCTTCCCATTCTCCCCACAGCTCGCCCTTCTTCCTCACCAGCTGTTTGACTGCGTATATACCTCTTCCGCTCCACTCACCCTATGTCACCCAAGCAATGGGAAGAGAAGTGGGCATCCAGGGTGCAATCCCAAGACTTCCAAGTAGAGGCAGAGCCCAGCTATGCAGAGAAGAGTGAGATCAGGCCCAGGCCAGGAGACGATGCTTAGCACCCAGGTGTCCGTCTGGGCCAGAGGAAGTCTTCTCCACCGGGAACGAGACATGGCAGGTAGGAAAACTCCAGGTGCCCGACCAGCCCACACCAGAGATGGATGGAGAGTCGGCTGGGGGTCTTAGAAAGGTCATGGCAAGCAGCTGTTCTGCAGGACAGCCACTGAAAAGAGACAGAACTAGTTCATCCCCTTCACAGGCCCACAGACGTAACATTCTGGTTAGTATTTCTGCTTTGTGCTAGGAGCCATTCAAAAACTTTTCCTGAAAATAGATAAGGATTAAAGAGCTTGCGATTTGTCTGTGGTGCCACATATATAGGGTGGCGGCGGGGGACCTTTTGAGAGTGAAAGGTGGAGCTATTTAATAATCACACTGACACAAGAGACTGAAGCTGGGATTGTCCAGGCAAACCAGGAATACAATCATCCTGTGCAGAATATAAGGCTGCAGCTGGGATTCAAAGCCAGGCAACCTCCTGAAGCCCCTCTGCTTGCTGAGGCAGGTGGGCTGACGTGATGCCTGATAGACCCACTGGTATGGAGAAAGTGCTTGGCAGCCAGTGGGGGCTGAGCGTTCCTCTAGGATGAGACCTGAACCAAGCAGAGATTGACAGCTTAAAAACAGTGAATTTTAATAAAGAGATTTCTGTAACTTGCTATACCACAGTAACATATGCCAAGATACCTAATAAGATTATCCTGTTTATCATTATAGGAGCTGAAACAGAAATAGAAGACGAAAGACAAAACTCAGGCGGCTGAACTATTAGAGCAGGTCCGCATGCATTGGGTTTACCCAGCATCCCATTAGATTTCTGCACACCTGACATATTTTTGCCTCAAAATAGATAATTAAAATATCCCTAGATAATGTCTTGATGGTTATATTGTGTTAAGACCCAATTAATCCAAGTGGTAAAAATGATATTGCTTTAGATTTGTATGACACATATATATATATTTTTGTCTTCAGAGGCCAAATTGCTTACCCGGTAGTGGTTATTTCTTGGGTGTGTGTAGTCACAGTCATCTAGAGAAGAAAAGAGCAGATATAACTCTCCCTCATTCTTTGCCTGATCCCCCTGTTTTATAGATGGGGGACCATGACTGCGGCCAGCATGAATGCCTTCTCCATGATTCAGGAGAGAAGAGAAAGACACATTTCATCAGGTGCATCTGCTAATGACACAGCCTCCTGTCATGAGTCAGTAATGGGAAATCAGCTTCGGATTGAAATTCAGCAACAGCCAGGACCAGGGGGGCAGCATAGTTTACTGGGAAAACCCTGGTAATCAGGAATCTTTGGTTTCTAACCGCAATCCCACCACTGTTCTAATATCCCTTAACATCCATTTCTGCTTCTGTAAAATGAGGGAAGTGGTATCTGCCCCATTTTATAATCATAAAGGGTGGGATCGTTACATAAAAATGGGAGAATATACAGCTTTGTACAACTGTATGCGTTTCCAAACTGTAACCGGGAATTTAAGAGTGTGTGTGTGTCCCAGGAAGAGGAACAAAGTCAATTCAGGACAATTGGACCAAAGGTCTTGCATTGGTCATAATTGGAGGGATGAATAAAGCCTTTTAGAAATCATTGCCTCCCACTCACCCACCAACATTTTCACAGCCCTTCAAAAAGAGCTTCCAAGCCAGACTTAAGCCCCCACTGCCCTCTTCGCCATTGTTTGCCTGGCTCCTTTTTATTATCCTTACGCTGGTCCGTGAGGACTGTCTGCATGATTCCTAGCTTTTCTCTCCCTTTGGAAGTGAATGACACATTCTATGCAAAAGAGCCCTAGAGGTACAAAACAAGAAAAAAATTTATAGGGCACTGGCACACTTCAAGTTCTGTGCCAACTATCTTCAAATGCCCCCAGGATTATTTTCCCTCCTAAAGTAACGGGAATTGCTAAGTGTTTTTAGAATTGCAGTTCGGAAGATGGTCTGCCTCCATTCACACAAGGCCCCGAGGTCTCTTCCAGGAAGCAGGGAGTGTGGTGAGTAGATACTCAGTTTCATGATCTCCTGGAGTTTTTACTGCTGAAGTGTTACTCTTTGCCTTCCTGCCATTGCTGCTGTGCACAGGTCAACAGGGATGCAGTCTTGTTGGGTCTGTGTATAGACCTGGGATTTTTATGCCAAGTCTCCACAGTGACGCATAGGGCTGGATTCCAGCCTGCTTGGCCACCACGCTAGTTGTATGCCTTCCAAATCTGTGCACATTTCTGGATTAAGGACATACAGTCATTGTAATCACTCTTAGGACACTCCTGTTAGCATCTCTGTGAAATTTTCCAGTCTGACTTCACTTTATGAGAGGTTCTAAGGGACCCAAACAAGAAGCATTGTCTTCTGCAGGTAAAACCCTCCACCTCCCCATCGAGTATTCTCAGACCCTGAACACATGCCCAAGAGAAGTAAATTTTTCTAGAATCTGGACAACCACTCCAAAAAGTAGAGAATCCATAAATTAGCTGCATATGCTAGACATTATCTAAATACTCAAAGATATCTTGCATTCCCGTAAGAGTTGAGTATTTTTTGATTGACAAGAAGTATTGTGGGGGTGCTACCACTGTGTGAGATGATCTCATGGATATAGACTCTAAATGATGCTAAAAATACAAATATCCAAGAAAAGGTGGAAAAGTTGACAAAACTTGCTGTTACGTGGTTTTGTTGAGAATCAGACCAATTTAAGATGTTTATGGAATGCATACTATGTGCCAGCATAGCCTACTCCATGTATGACCTCAAGAAAAGTAAAGAGGATGGATGAACATTTTCTTGAGCATTTTTTAATCATTGAATAAGTGTGAATATTTAATTTTCATTTTCCCTGTTTTAAAGATGGTGACACTGAAGTGCTGATATATTAAGCTAATTCCCTAATGCCTCACCACTACAAAATGACAGGGTGAGAATTCCAACTCAGGTTCCATCCAAATGAATGCATTATTCCACTTCCTTGAACCTCTGCATCCTGGGAGAGAGGTTTCTACTATTCAGTCCTATTGCACCCCTACTTCTGCCAATGTGCCCATTGTATTGCATTTTAATTATTTAGTTGCCCAAAACCACCTGCTAAGTTCCTTATGGGGAATGACTTTGGGAGACTTGGTTGCTTCAGTCCTTAGCACAGTGATTGACACACAGTAAGTTCCTAATAATTAATACTGCCTAACCCTATCACATCATATTCCCTCAAAATAAAAGTTACACGAGCCATCATCTGCCTTTTCTTTTTATGTAAGGGGAACCCCCAGCAACGTTCTCCATTTCCTGTGGGTCCAAAGGACCTGCTGAAGTGAACTAGACTCGACCCTTTGTGGTGCAGCCACTCTGCATCCGATCTTGTCCATTCAGGCGGGACCACTACTCTTCCGCTACCTTGGGTCTTGGACAACTACCTTGAATTCAACCATTTAAGAAGAAATTGTTTGCCACCTTGAATGTACCAGATACTGTCTTAGGTGCTGGGAGTACAGAAATTCATAAGACATGACTCCTGTCCTCCCACTGCTCACAGACGAGCAGGGGAACACACGGGCCATCACCGAGTTCGGTTTCCGCTTCAGTTACCAGGGGCCACGCTGCTACCCTGCCCCGTCTTCTTACATCCCTGCTCCGTTCCTAGAACAATGCTTCTGCCAGAAATTGCCAACATCATTGCCGTGGCCCATCATCTCCCAGGACTGACCGCTCTTAGCAAGATGGTACCATTGAGAACGTGTCCCCCCCCCCTAATCACTGAGTCACTGAGGGCCCAGTCATTGAAGGAGCAGGTTCTTCTCTTTGTGACATTGAAGTGGTTTTGGCTCAAGACAGAACTGAGTCCAAGTCTTAGCTCCAGTTTCATAGCTGTTTGGTCTTAGGCAACTCTTGCAACTTCCTTCGCTTTTTTTAAAATCTCATAAAAAGGATCAAAAGAGTCCTTCCATGCGATCATGTAATGAAATCTTACAGGAAAGCACTTGGCAGAAAAACTGTTAATATTATAATTAATATCACTCTCACCACTCGCGTCACACTTCCTGCCGAGGCACCAGGAGGCCACCTTCCTCTCGTCCTGCGTGCAGCGACCGCCCCGCGCTGTCCCCCGGGCCCTGCGTCCGCTGCTTTCCTGTGCCTCCAGGGGCGCTTCCTCCCACCTCTGGCCCCGCCTGCTGCCTCCCGTCCAAGGCGGCAGTTTTGGCTGCCGGCACGTTTCACACGGAGACGCTTTGCTCTTACAGCTCCAGCTGCCGCAGACCTGGGGGTGCTCGAGAGCCAGAGAGCGAGGGCACCGCCCCACGTCCCGCGGATGGACTCACAAAGTGTACGGACTAAACGTGTGTCCCCTGCCACAAGTCTTCCTAAGCTGGATACCCCCTGCTCTGGA